GTAACTTAAGTTTACTGCCAACTGCTCCATTCGCTCAGGCAAACTCTCCGCCACAGGACTACGCCACTTGCTTACACGAGATACTTGACAGACACTACATGTCTCGCACAGTTTCATGCCAATGTCTACCAGACTTCACTTTTTATGCAATACATTCTCCGTTTTAACTATGGCTTCGTGTCCGTCATGGCCAATCTTTTGAACTTAATCACGTTTAATCTCTGGAATGAATTTCCTTGGCTTACCTCGAATCGATACTCGTCCTGCAGTAAGTCGTGTGAAGCTCACTTTTTGCATGTAAATAGTTAACAGGGACCGCGTACCAGCTCATGTTGACAGACGTCACGCAGCTTTTCCATACTCGTCCCCTCCTTTGTCATGAGGTTTGCTTAACGCGCATGGCCGAGCGAACAACTTTCAGACTTTTTTCACTGAGAAGTCAAATCCTTTGCCTGTGGTCATAATTTTAAACGCCCTGATGACGTATAGTTGCAACACCGACGCTAAAAACTCGAAAGACAGAAACATTGCATATTTTTTGTTGTTGTTTTGGTTGTTGTTGCTTTCTTGTTTCAATTGAATTGACTCATCTTGATCACAAATCGTGTTCTCTTTCAGAAATGTATGTACTGCGATTTCTTAAACTAATAAAGACTCACGACGAACAGTTTTCATTGCATGTTTCATCCCTTTCTCTATGCGGGAGATAAGTCTAAGTGTCTGCCAGGTTTTCAAGACTATTCGCTTCAGCAAACAATATATTTTTCACTGTTTTGTCCTAATAACGTTTCTTTTGTTTCAGTTTCCTTTTAACGGCTAGATTCCTGTCATTCGTGGTCGTGAGACTGATTTATATTTTTGATAAGGACCTTTTTTGCATGTTTATGAGAAATTAGCAGTTTAAACCTAATCCGCAGGACTCGTCAAAGAGAATGGATCTGGAAAGTTAAACACCATTAATTCCACATTTTTCTTTAAACTAGTGTTTGTTCTTGACAGGCGAAAGAGATTCGAAAAAGAGCATGTTTTTGAGTCTGATTCTTGGGGAGCAACTCCTCCCTGACTCCTTCTTTGGCATCTCTTCCGTTGTCTGCGAATTAAGATATGGAGCAACCCACAAGCTGGTAGCGCACTATAAAGACGCAGATCCTGAAACAGGCCTTCCTTCAAAGACTATCCAGCCTGGGGAGATGGCTGTGAACTCTCAACAAATCTTTCTTCAAAAAATCTCCTGGTTTTTCCAAAATGAAGATCTGC